ATGTGTGGCTTCTGATTTTTTTAGAAATTAAAATTCGTGTAATGATATTTTTATTTACGTCCAATTATATTTTAAACTCTAAAAACTTTGCTTCAAATGTCTCCATCTAAAATGAAGTGCAACGTCAATCGATCTTACATTTTTTGGGAGCAACTAAAATACAAACCTTTGACGAAGATACATTACAATAATATTCAAAAGCCAAAAAAGGAAATAGTCGATAAATTTAAAAAAAAGGGAATCGCTCCACAGTTTCAAGGCATCTAACCACAAATAGATATAAGCTTTCCTTTTGCTACATTCAAAAAGAAATTACATGTATTCCGCAGACATTGGTATGGACCAATTCGTCTAATGCCGAGGGATCGACGTATAATTCTGGATTTAGTATGAAACAAAATAATGGATGTAAAATTTTATGTTAAAATATTAAAAGATACCGGAAATGGGAAGAATGTTTGGAAGTAGGTGACGGTATGAACAGGACAATGATCCCAAACACAACAGCCGTGTTGCTAAAGAATTTTAAGTTTCCGAAACTTTTGATTAGCCTTCTAACATTCCTGACTTTAATCCGAAATCGGAAGAACGGCCTAATTAGTTTAATTAGATCAATGAAACTTGTTATCGTTATAGAAAAACGTATAAATTATTAAATAAAAATATAATTAAAAACATTTTTTAATTTCCATTTTTTTGCAAGCTTTTAATTGAACATGAGAAATTCAAGTAAATTAAAAAGCATTATCAAAGAGTTTACTGTCAATGTTCTTGTCATCAATACTTTGCAGCAATCCGTTAATGCGTTCCCTCATATCCAAAGTGTCCGGTGTAAGTCATCATGCCAAAACCAAGATCATATAACCTAAACATCGTTATCGTTATTTTTGAATTTGAAGCCAAGGTATAAACTCAAATGGGAAAATTACACAGTGACTCTCTTTATAGCATCAAAAAAATCTTTTAGCAAAAAATTCCACTATATCGAGAATCTATTAGTAAATCGAGTGAATTTATTTAAGGTAGTTTGAATATTATCCATTACATTGTGAGTTTACTTAGTCTCCACTCCATTATAAGGAGAGTTATTGTGTATGCAGCAAAAAAATAAGTTGCTAACGTTAACAATTTTATCCTGGTATAGGCAAAAAAAGAACTTATCCATAAAATTATCTTTCGATAGTAGCTTTTATTTTAATTCACTTTTATCCAAAATATCGTTCATTGTTCTGACCACCTGATTTATAATTACTGATCATTACCTCATAAATAAATAACGATTTTTTTCCATGTAGCTTTTGTCTTCAGCTACCTGAAATAAAAAAATTTTTTTTACAATGTCCAAAAGGCATGAACTTACTGAGTTTGAATGAGGAGAGATTATAGGTCTCTGGAAAGAAGACTATATTAAATGAAATATTAGAAAAATTCTTGAATATTCTAAAATTACTATTCATATCACTATAACAAAATATCAAAATTCAGGAAATGTTACAGATCCTCTGCATTCAGGAAGATTATCAGAATGTGAGATTAGATGTCTTGTAAAATTAGTTGGCAACAATCACTAGAGAAAATGATAAAAAAATTTAGTAAATCTTTATTAATTTCAGTATCTTTTAGTATTATGAGATATACTTTATATATTAAGAGATTTATGAATGAATTAGAAAGAGAAAACTATTTATTTCTGAAAAAAAATCATAAAAAAAAGACTAGAATGATTTTATGAAAGAAAAGAATGAGATAGTAAGTGAAATTTCATTATTTAAAATAATAAATCTCACTTTATATTATTTTAAAATAATATATATTACTAAATTTGTCATATACATGAAAAATATAATATAAATTGCTTAATTCTAACTGTAAAATCTGGAATTCAAGAAATTATAATATGAAATATTTATAAAAGATAAAATTAATTCTTTAATTAAAAAATACTTTTTTACTCTTTTATAATAATTTAAAAAATAATTCACAATATAATTTTCAAAATAATAATACTTTAGTATATAGAACAAGAATAATTAATTAATAAAAAAAGAATAATTTGATATTAAGTTTTTTATAATTTATATTAATTGAATATTTATAAAATTTTTTGAAAAAAAGAATTTAGAAATATAAATTTTATTCAAAAAATATTATGAAATTAATTATAGTTTTAAGAAATAAAATAAAAATTAAGCCTGAAGTTTTAATAAAAGTTTGTCAAGAAGAATTCATAAAAATTTAACTAAATATTAATAAAATCATATTTTTTTGAATAAAATAATATAAATTTTTTATAATATTTATTTATAAATTATTAAGAAATTAATTAATAAAGTTTGTATATTTTTTTTTAATTTTAAAATGATCAGATATTTTTAATTAGAGAGTATATATAATAATATTATTAATTAACAAATACTTTATTTAAATATAAATTAGTTTTCTTATATATGAATTATTTATTTTTAAATATAAGATTTTATTATTGCTATTTAATAAATTAATAGTAAAAGAACTCAAAATAATACTTGATAAAAATATATATATTTTTATTTATTAAATTATTTATAAAATTCAAAAATCAATGTTAGAAAAGAAAATATCCAATTTTCAACATAAAAAGTTATTATTTTATATATATAATCCAGTACAAAAAGATTAATATATCAGATAAATATTATTTTTCAAAATAAAATTTTAATTCTGTTTTATTTAATTAAGTTATTAGATATTGAAATTTATTTAAATATAAAAATTTTTATTATATATCTTTTATAAAAAAATTTTTACTAATAATAAACTTTTTTGAATTATTATTTCTTAAATTTTATTATATAAAATTTGATTAAATATAAAAATTATATAGGAAATAATTTAATGACTAAACTTTGAATCTTAATATCTTTATAACTACTGATTCAATTTTTATAAAATTTAATATCAAATCTAGGAAAACCTGCTTACATAATTTAAAGTTTTAATATTACAAATTGGTAATGATAATATTTAAAATGTCTTTTTTAAAAAAAATAATTTTATTTTAGTTTTTTTAGTAAAGTATGCTTCATTTATTACTATAATAGAATAATTAAAATAGTATAAAAAGTTAATTTAGATCATTTTTATTTGATATAAAAAATTATAAAGTTTAGCTAAAATTTGAATGATTTTTATTAGAAGCAATTATTAATTTATATTGATGTACCAATCTTTTTGCACCGGACCATATATATAACACGGGGAAAGAATTTAAAGAAGATAACAAAAGGAAGAAAGCATGCTGTGGCGTGATAAATAAACCAGAAAGAAAAATCCATTCATTAATTCATTAAATTTAACCCAAGTATTAATATATATTATATGCTCAGTTATAAGCAATTCACAAATATACAATTTTTTCGGATCTTAACAATTTTTTACTCAAAAGAAAAATAGGCGCCTGGCACTATCAGTAAACGATCGTTTTTTTGATGATTTTGATGTTGTCATCATCGTTGGCGTGGATATTAACAATGCAGGATTTGTTATTGGCGCTGCATCGGAAAAGGGCTGCCCCCCCATAGTGAAATTTGCGGATGGCGGTGACATGCTTAGGTCATCGCTCGAGGAATAAAGGTAATTCGACGGTGACGATGAATAATATCCATCTTCTCTTGGATCAAAATACGAAGAGGATGATGACGAAGATAACGTTTGAGAGGGAAGTAGTGATGGAGAAGTGTAAGATGATGATTCAGGTGTTGAGTATAGGGACTGATATGGTTTTTGAGAGGAACATCTTGGAAATTCGTAGAATGAATCATGTATCGATGAATTCGTTATTATTGATGGCGATGAAGATATTGATTGACCATCTTTTCGTCGACAAGATTCGCTGCAATATAAGTTTTCAATAGCGAAAATATGTTTATCGCATACTGTACACCATGAATGATCCATTTTTTACTATGTGTGTATTATGTTTGTGTATGTGTATGTTATGTATTATGTTTGTATTTATGTATGTATGTATTTATGTATGTATGTATGTTAAGTATGGATGTATGTATGTATGTATGTATGTATGTAATGGGTAAATCTTTAGTTTTGTTGCTTTTTGCTATTGCGGTTATTGCTAATTATTTATAGAAGAGTTAAGTAAAAAAAAAGAGAGATAAAGCAGAATAATAATGTCGTAATGGTAATCGTAATAGTAATAATGAACGTAAAAGATTTATTTTTTTTTTTAGTTTTTGGGTTTAAAATATAATTGGACGTAAATAAAAATATCATTACACGAATTTTAATTTCTAAAAAAATCAGAAGCCACACAT